ACCTTCTCCCTAAGTCAAGTCAATTATCAGCTCCTATCACACGGACAAGAGTCCCATTCCAGGAAGAGATGAGCCGCAAGAAAAAGGGAGAAGAGGCCCAAAACTCAAAGTTTAATTGGTGGTTTATCAAAAATATCCATCAATTTTATTTAACGATGAGGTGGTATAAAACAGCTAAATCCCACACACACACATACCCCTTCTTTTATATCCGATCACAGGCAAAGAAAAATTTAAACGAGGAATGCAATGGATTAAACCCATGGTCCTATCAAATCATGTTATGGTGACAGAGGTCTCGAAAGCAAAGGCATACAACGCAAATGCCCATTAGTTGTATTTGAAGGATAATAGTGGTACAAAACCACGAAAGCTTTTGGTCAAACTCTCATAAAAGACTTTGGGCAAACCAATGAAAAGTTTTTGGGCAAACCAATGAATATGAAATGTGTATCATGATTAGTAGCTTTTGGTCAAACTCTCATAAAAGACTTTGGGCAAACCAATGAATAGTTCATTGAATTGCAACCCTATGAGTGGCTTGATCCCTCGCAAAGGGTACGTGGGCAATCTAGGGCACGACCTAGGTGCAGCCGCAAAATCAAACAAGCATCCAAATCTCCAAATTACGATTTATTCATATTGGAATTAAAGGGTATTTCTTGGTTAACAAATGATTGTAATTAATAGATGCATAGTCTAGACATGATCGAACTCAAATTAATAAAACCCTTTTTGCAAAAACAAACTAGTGTGAAATCGTGTTGAGTAACTTATTTGTATACATCTTGTGTACAATTTTTTTTTCTTTTCTTTTCAACATAGTAGATGGTGGGAAAAAAATGGGACCCTACTAATCATGATACACATTTCATATTTGAAAAGTTTTACACACTAACGTGTGGAACCCTTACCACTAGTCTATAAAAAAAACCTCTCTCACAACTTCACCATCATGCTAACATCGAAGAGTGCAGAACAAAACACAATGGGATTCAGCCGGTGCTTGTTTGTATCCCATATGTGTTATATACTCTCAAAAGTTGTGTTGGTTCTTCTCATTGTTGTTTCATCAGTTTCGTCATTGCAGCAATATTGTCACGACAAGGAGAGGTCTGCCTTGCTGCAATTGAAGGGAAGTTTCATCATTGATAGATCTGCCTCGTTTTCTCATGACGCTTATCCAAATATTTTGCAATGGAAACTAGCTGAGGGACGAAATGGCAACTGCTGTGCATGGGATGGCATTGTGTGTAATGAGAGGACGGGTCATGTGATTGACCTTAATGCTCTATCAACTCCAACAGCAGCCTTTCCCGGCTTGTTCAACTTCAAGTGCTGAACCTAGCTGGCAACAACTTCAGCTCCTCTCGAATTCCTACTAGCATTAGGAATTTCCCCAAGGCTCATGTATTTTATTCTCTCTTCTTCTATCTTTTCTGGCCAAATCCCATTCCAAATTTCATAATTGGCCAAATTGTCGTCCCTTGATCCTTCTTCGAATCAGTTAACCAGTCCAATTCCTTCTCTAGGAAATCTCACCCATCTCACAGAACTTTCTCTGTCTTTGAATCAGTTTATCGTGTTATGACCAAATTATTACTAAGGTTTTATGCTTTATTACCATGAGGAATTGTTAATATGCCAGCTGGCATTTAAAAGTGTAGAGGCTCTATAAAAGGAGCCCAGCTCCCTCAAATGTGGTAGATCAGAATTTACACAAAAGAAATATAAACAAAAACAATTCAAGAGCTTAGCTCTCTCTCTTCCTTCCCTTTCCCTCTCTATCCTTTGTGTTACTTGCAAGTTGATTAAGGGCTTAGAGATTTGGATCTTATCAATAGTATCATCCTTCTCGAATCCTGGTTTCCCTCCTGTGCATGCCCACCCAACCCGTCTTCCTACCATGGATGCATGTTCTTAATTCCAGATATGCCCATTGCAATCCCAATATCAGCAAGTTTCAAAACAAGTGCATCATTCAGTGGTTTCAAAGCACTAGTTGACATCTCATGAAGAGCTTGCACGATATAGGCCCTTAAGTTATCATCCAGTAGTACAACAATGCCATCAAGCAACTAAACCTTGGTGCTTTTCTCAAGCAAATTCTCTACAGCACCCTTCACTAGCAATGACTCCTCCCCTGAAACAGAGTTGACAATTACACCTGTGGATTTCTTATCATGATCAAACTCAAGGGTTGCAATTCGACATTCAAATTCACTCCACTTCTGGCAACAACCAAGCAAATCCCTTCCATTTGATGATTCCGCACCCTTGGACTCTTCGGAAATGACCATCTTCTCAACTAAAAACTTTGGAAAGGGAATGGCAGTGCTCAACCTATGATATTCAAGTAGCAAATGTGTCGATTGGAGCTTATGGATAAAACAAGGACCATGACTACAAACCAAATGGTAGTGGCAAAACTTGTAGCTTTGCGTCCTAGGCCTATTATACTACTAAAGTTTAGGGTGGATGGAATTATATACAATCCACTTGATGGTGAAATTCTTAACTGGCCAACTGGTCAAATGGATGCTAATCTTCAAATGATCGCAAAGGTAGCTGATGTCTGCAATAATGCTAGCATTGCATAAGCAGAACAGAACTATGTTGACCATGAAATGCCTACTGAGGCAGCTCCGAAGTTTTTAGTTGAGAAGATGGTCCTTTCTGAAGAGTCCAAGGGTGTGGAATCATTTAATGGAAGGGATTTGCTTGGTTGTTGCCAAAAGTGGAGTGAATTTGAATGCCTAATTACAACCCTTGAGTTCGATTGTGATAAGAAATCCATAGGTGTAATTGTCAACTCTATTTCAAGGGAGGATTCATTGCTAGCGAAGGGTGCTATAGAAAATTTGCTTGAGAAAAGCACTAAGGTTCAGTTGCTTGATGGCACTGTTGTACCACTAGATGATAGCTCAAGGACCTATATCATGCAAGCTCTTCATGAGATGTCAACTAGTGCTTTGAAACCACTAATGATGCACCTGTTTTGAAACTTGCTGATATTGGGATTACAATGCGCATATTTGGAATTGAGAACATGACCATCACAAGGGAATGTGTTGCTGCTTTGAAACAAGTTCCCACATCCAAATTTTTTTAGCCTTGAGGACAAGGCTAATTTTCAAAGGGGGGAGTATTGTTATGACCCAAATTATTACTGAGGTTTTATGCTTTATTACTGTGAGGAATTGTTAATATGCCAGCTGGCATTTCAAAGTGTAGAGGTTGTATAAAAGGAGCCCAGCTCCCTCAAATGTGGCAGATCAAAATTTACACAAAAGAAATATAAACAAAAACAATTTAAGAGCTCAGCTCTCTCTCTCTTCCTTCTCTTTCCCTCTCTATCCTCTGTGTTACTTGCAGGTTAATTAAAGGCTTAGAGATTTGGATCTTATCATACCGGTCAAATTCCTTATCTAGGAAATCTCATCCACCTCACAAAACTTGATCTGTCTTTTAATCAGTTAACCACTCTAATTCCTTCTCTACGAAATCTCACCCACCTCACAAAACTTGATCTATCATGGAATCAGTTAACCGGTCCAATTTCTTATCTAGGAAATCTCATCCACCTCACAGAACTTGATCTATCTTGGAATCAGTTAACTGGTCCAATTCCTTATCTAGGAAATCCCATCCATCTCACATAACTTAATCTGTCTTCAAATCAGTTAGCTGGTCCAATTCATTCTCTAGGAAATCTCACCCACCTTATAGAACTTGATCTGTCTAGGAATCAATTAACCGGTCATTCATTCTCTAGAAAATCTCATCCACCTCACAAAACTTTCTCTGTCATCGAATCAGTTAACCGGTCCAATTCCTTCTCTAGGAAATCTCATCCACGTTATAAAACTTGATATGTCTTCAAATCAGTTAACCAATCCAATTCATTCCCTAGGAAATCTCACCCACCTCACAAAACTTTCTATGTATACGAATCAGTTAACCAGTCTAATTCGTTTTCTAGGAAATCTCACCCACATCACAGAACTTGATATGTTTGGGAATTAGTTAACCGGTCAAATTCCTTCTCTAGGAAATCTCATCCACTTCACAAAACTTGATCTGTCTTTGAATCAATTTACCAATCCAATTCATTCTCTAGGAACCCACCTCACAAAACTTTCCCTGTCTGTGAATCAGTTAATCTGTCTAATTCGTTTTCTAGGAAATCTCACCTACCTCACAAAACTTGATCTGTCTTTGAATCAGTTAACCACTCCAATTCCTTCTCTACGAAATCTCATCCACCTCACAGAACTTGATCTGTCTTCGAATCAGTTAACCGGTCCAATTCTTTCTTTACAAAATCTCACCCACCTCGCAATACTGTCTCTGTTTTGGAATCAGTTAACCGGTCCAATTCCTTTTCTAGGAAATCTTATCCACCTCACACTACTTGATCTATCTTTGAATTAGTTAACTGGTCCAATTCATTCTCTAGGAAACTCACCCACCTCACAAAACTTTCTCTATATTCGAACCAGTTAACCAGTCCAATTCCTAATTCCTTATCCAATCTCATCAATCTCGAGGTATTTGATCTACATGATAATAATCTGACTGGTGCAGTGAAGTTCCACATGGTGTTTCACAGTCACAAGGGCCCACCAAATTAGAACTATCTCGTAACAGTGAATTTTTTTTACAGAAACAGAAAGTACGAATGCAAGCCTACTTCCAAAGTTAAACTTTCTAGGATTGGGTTTGTGCAACATAAGAGAGTTCCCAAGTTTCCTACAGTATCAAGAAACATTGGTGTACTTGGACCTTAGTACCAAAATGGATCTTGAACACAAGCACAAAGACTTTGAAGTACATGGACATTTCTCACAACTTCCCTTCAACCATTGTCCAGCCTTCAGATGCCTTTCCTTGGGTTAACCTACAAGTTTTATTGCTCAGGAACAACATGCTACATGGAGCAATTTCACCGTTGATCTACAATCTGACTTCTCTTCAATTCCTTGATCTTTCCAACAACAATGTGTGGAATAATTCCCCCTTGTCTCGGAAACTTCAGCGTTGATCTGCAAGTTTTATATCTTGGAAACAACTCTTTCAAAATATACACCAACAGAAGCAATCTGACGTTGATTGATGTTAGTCATAACCAATTGCAAAGGCAACTACCAAGGTCGTTAGGGAACTACATGAAACTTGAGTTTATTGATCTGTCATACAATAAATTCAGCGATGTTTCTCCCTTTTGGTTAAGGGCTCTTCCAGAGTTAAAACTTTTGGCAATGCACCACAACGCGTTCTACGGTCCAATTGAGGAACATGATCAGGACAATGTTAAATATTTTCCTGAGTTGCAAATTCTGGATCTATCTTTTAATTGTTTCAGAGGCAAGTTTCTATGTCAAAAAATCTTTTCCGGGAATGTCATGAGGGGTGTCACTCGAAACCAACCAACATATATGAAGGTAGACAGAACTATGGAGACTCCTAGTCTTGAGCTAATCTTTTATGAGTATTACTCAATTGCGATAACTAGCAAAGGTGTGGAGAGATATTATCCGAAGATTCAAGAAGCCCTTGTAGCGATTGACATCTCAAGCAACAAATTTGAAGGGAGTATTCTTGAAATTTTTGGGAACCTAGAGGGGTTGGTGTCATTCAATATGTCTGGTAACCTCCTAACTGGTCCCATCCCATCATCTTTCGGGAATTTAAGATGGCTTGAATCACTGGACCTTTCACACAACAAGCTTTCAGGACAAATCCCTCAAAGCCTCACGTAGCTTACATTCCTTGAAATATTCATTGTCTCTGACAACAGTTTGACAGGTCCAATACCTCATGGAACCCAACTTATTTCATTCAGTAGCAGTTCATATGAAGGAAACCTTGGATTGTGTGGAGATCCTTTGCCAAAGAAATGTGGAGATCCTAAGGCTCCTCACCTGTCGACTTCAAAAACCGAAGAAAATTATTCAAGCTCGTTTGAATTTGATTGGAAATTTGTTTTGGCTGGTCTCGGAAGTGGGTTGGTAGTGGGAGTTTTTCTTTCTAATGTGGTGATCACCAAGAAGCATGAATGGTTTGTTGAGATTGTTAAAACCATCAAGTTGATGATAGGAAATTCGTAAGTCCACTATAAGGTTATGCATTTGGTGTTGTTTTTTGCTTGTTTTATATTATTTCTTTGTACTCCTTTTTAATGTTATGTCTTCCTTTTGTTTTATATTGTTTTTTGCTTGTATATTAGTTCCACAAAAGGTACAAACCCAGCTGAGAGGCGGCATTGTTCTGTAAGATGAAGTGAAACTGGTACCGGGCAGGATCGTTTGATATGTATGGAATAATAGAACAAGAATTTTATAATTCTATCAAAAGTAAACCCAAATTTAACAACAGATAGATATTAGAAACAGTTTAACTACCAAATATGCTAGTCAAGCAAAAACACAACAACTCACATATGAAATATCTGAGTTATCTAATATGTATTATGTGCCACTAATTCACATATTTTCTTATGTGCCATTAATTCATTACAATATATTTAAGTACAGACATTTCACTATACTAACTCAATAAATTATGATACAAAAGTTTAGGTACACTAATTAGAAGAAGTTAAACAAAATTAAAAAATTAAAATATGTATAATAATAAATTTGAAATTTATGTGACGACATTAAATAAGATATCTATTAAATATTAAAAAAAATACAATATAAATTTAAATTATGTACCCAATAAAGGACTAAAATGTATATGTACTCTAACACTAGATTTTTATTAAAGTTTAATCTTTTTTTAAGAATTAGAGTTCAAAAACCCCTAATTTGTTTTTCCAGAAGTTTGGGGGTAAAATTGGAAGAAGAGTGAGCCAAAGAAGGGTAATGATAATGAAGAGAAGAACAGCAGCAATGAAGGAATACTTACCAGCAGCAACAAGTATAGCCAATGCGATGGACAGCACCTGCACACTCGCAGCCTAGTCAATCCGACAGCCAAGACGTTGTTAGGATCTGGGTCATGTAGGAGATCACCCCATCTGGTGTTGCCGAATAAAGGCCGTTGATTCTTCCCCAAATCATCGACATTGCCACCACCGTCGAATCCAGTTCATTCATCTTTTCCTTTCTCTTCTACCCTCTCCTTGGAATTCGAAACCTGCTCCAACCGTTGCCGTTGTTCGCAAATACCACAAATCTTTTGGGCATTTTTGGGATTTGGGTTTTTGAGGGGCGAATGATAAGAGAAATTGAGATGGGTCTGCGTGTGAGAGCAGCCCTAAACATATTTTCCCGCACATCCAAATTTTCCAAGAAAACTGGGAAACCGAGAAAGGGCCTTTCCTATTTCCCCACAATATTTTTCAATTTTTGTGGGTTGGGTTTTGGGTTGTATGTGAATTGGGCTGAAGAATTTGGACTCAATTAAAAGTAGAGATTGTGGACTTTGGATTTGGTTGCAAACTTGCAAGAGCTTTCCGCTTTATTAGCATTTTCCATGTCGGACTTGGACCAGAAATCGAATATTAAGTATGAAACATGAAGTGATCGCATTTTCTAAGGTGAACTTTGGTCTGACAGCTACTAAACTTGAAGTTACGAATTCAATCAAACTGTGAAATTAATTTATGTGTGTGAAGAAGTACTTAGTTGGATTATCTTTGCTTGCATGGAAGTCATACCCAAGACAACTGGATCTACAAATGTCATATAAACAACAAATAAGGGCATGTTTTCAATCCTGTTGTTGGATGAATGCCTGTCTTTTTTTTTTTCTTTTTGAACAAACGACACTATTTACACTCTTATTTTGACTCGGGAACTAAGATATATATATATATATATATATATATATATATATATATATATTTGGATTGGGAGAGGCCACATCACCTTTGCTATGAGGCCACAAACATGACCTTCTTTGAGAAATAGGCTGCCTTACATATGTAAGGACTAAAACTATTGTAATACACACATAAATACCAATACACCACAGTGGATGTAGCTCGATTACAGGTGAACCAATCTATCTCTTAGGATATGGTTCATCTGACCCGCTTCAACTACTTGTGTCCACACAAGTTCTTTGATGACTAATCATATACTAGCATCAATAGCAATAGCTAAATTTTTTTTTTTTTTTCACTTTAAAAGATTTTCTTTTTGCTCTTGAACAACTTATGTCACGCTATATTATAATTAATGATTTATATATGAAAGCATCTTAAACCTTTAGGAGTTCTTATTTACAAAAGCTCAGGGAGTTTTGTAGAAAAAACAATGAATGTTTTGTGGAAAAAACAATGAATGTGAGCGGTTATGTGAAATCTATGTGATTAACTATAAGAAATTTGTGGAGAATTTTTTAATGATATAATCCATTTTTGGATGAAATTTTCACGGAATGGGCTTCATGGAAATAATATTAAACTTCAAGGGGTATTATTATAAACCACAAGGGATTTGTGTGAACATGGAAAAGGTAATGGTAAGGAGAGTAAATTTGTAGATAAAATTTTAGAAACTAAATGACATAGAAGTTGATGATTGATTTATTACTTAAGAGTTAATAAATGTGCTCATTCCTATTGGTGACATATCATTTAGTTTACAAATTTAGTCTTCCTAACATTACTTATAGAGAAAGCATCAAGGGATGCTAGTGTAATCAAATAAAAATTGTGAGGTATAGTTAGGGTTAATATTGTCACAAACCTGCCATTTTACGCTATGAAGATGATTTGTGGACTAAAGTTTCGGCGCATATCTAGTGAGACAAGCTTTTTCTTTTGGTAATTTGATCCAACGGCTAAAACTGTTATAAATTTTAAAGTGGGCTCCTGTTTGTAGCCGTTTGATCAAATTTTAAAAGCTCGGATTTGTGGCCGTGGTGGACTTGTTGGAAGGGATCCGGAGAGGATCCCTTTCCAATAAAGAATACATTAATAAATTAATAAGCTGTCGATTATTGACAGAGAGAAAAAAACTATTAATTAATTGATTATTTAATATGCACTAAATTAATAGATTTTTCTTGTTCTAGACACCATTTAATTTAGAGAGTTTTAACGAAAAGCTTATGATACTGTTCACTTTAACGAAAAACCACATTTTTACACTAAAAAGTCAATCTTGGTACTATTCACTTTACCATTTATTTTGTCCTTATCATTAAAACTCAAAGTTTTCAAGTCATTTTCATTAGTTTTTCTTTTAATTTATGGAGGGTTTGATTGTATTTGAGATCAATTGATTATTTCATGCCGTAATACAGTTTGAGTGGTATTTTTCTTTCTACAAAGCTTGATTGCTTAAAAAAAAATGCGGGAGTTCCTGCTCTTACTCAATAACAACTTGACAAATATTTTAGTTGTCTTTTCGAGTTTTAATTTTTCAATTTTTTTTAACACTTGTCAAATGTTATTGGTTGAGACTTGAGAGTAGCAGCTCCAACATTTTATTAAACAACTAATCTTTGGTTTTTTTTTTTTTAACTCGTAAATGAGAAGTTTTAAATTTGATATAGCGGTACAAACAAACAACGAACAAACTAGAAAAATACAAACGAACAAACTATATAGGGTAAATTACATTTTCATACCTCAGGTTTGGGGTCTATTTCAATTCCTTACAACATCTTCAAAACATTTTACTTTCATACCTTAAATACTATTTTATTTCAAAATAATACATCCGTTACATTTTCCATCAATTAATCCGTTAAGTGCTGACATAGCTGCCACATATATGCCACGTGGCTGCCAAACCGAACCCACACAGACCATGACCCCCCCCCCCCTGGACCTCCATATTTTTGAGGTTTTCAATGCGGGTAAGTTTCGAAAATACTTTGAGATGAGGAGTTTGAATTTGAGATGATTGTTGGACTGATTTTGTGGTAGATCCAACTAATCTCGGATTGGATTTTTAGGGGTGGGTGATGGGGGATGGAAGAAAGGGGTGGCCCGGGTGGGATTTTGGGATGGGTGATGATGGATGGGAGAAGAGGGTGGGTCAGGGAAGACGATTTTTGGGTTTTATTTTTATTTTTATTTTCCTCTTCTTCTTCTTCGTAGGTTTTTGGGGTTGGGGGTGGGAATTGGGTTTGGCCTTTTTTTTCTTCTCATTCTCTCCTTGTTGTTGTTGTTGTTGTTGTTGCAGGTTTAGGGATGTGGGGATGGTTGCGGGGAGATGGGATGGGATGGGATGGGTTTCAATTTTTTTCTTCTTCTTCTTCTCCCTCTTCTTCTTCTTGCAGGAGGTGCAGGTCTTGGGATGGGTTTCAAATATTATTATTATTATTTTTTTTTTTTAAAATTCAGGTTTTTTAAAAGGAAATTAAAAAAATATTTTTTTGCCACGTGTCAGGGATTTGGCAGTCACGTGGCATATATGTAACAACCACGTCAGTTTTTAACGGATCAATGAATAAAAAATGTAACGGAGGTATTATTTTGAAATAAAATAGTACTTAAGGTATGAAAGTGAAATATTTTAAAGATGTTTTAAGAAATTGAAATAGATCTCAAACCTAAAGTATGAAAGTCATAGTATAAGTTGCTCTGTTACTAATTTTCTATTAGCAGTAGAAACAAACAAACGAACAAACTAGAAAGCAAAATGCGATGGCGGCAATGAGATCCGGTGGGAGCCTGGCGGCGCTAACTCGAGCGTTGATCACTCGCTCCATGGAGTCGTCTCGGGGAGCCACTCGCTACTTGAGCGCAGGCAAAGGCAAAATCCTCAGCGAGGAGGAGCGCGCCGCCGAGAATGTC